CTTGTAGTTTACCAAAGCTGCCATTAAAATACCTAATAAATTTATAAAATGTAAATTAGATCTACAAGAATGGGGAGGGGGTGTGAATGTAAAACTAATTATCACAAATGCAATAAGTACTCTTACTGAAAGTGAATTACAAAAGCTAAGAAAAAAAATGAAGGTGTTTAAAAATATCTGTACATTTATTTTTAAAGTCATTCTTTATCCAATACACCCATAAAACTTAGATATTGCAGAAGCAAGGCTCATAACTGTCTGCTGTAACCACAGTCTTTTTCCTATCATCTGTCAAGTTATTTACTATCAGTTGTGCTGACGTCCAGTTAATGCAAGTTTATTTAATTACTATACTGAACATGGATATTGTGACTTTCTCCTTCTAGTAGATCGTTTTTCTAATTTCTCTTTGAAGCATCAGTGTTTTCAATTGTCTGATAGACACCACCTTCCCTCTTTTGAGGCCATGGAAATGTCAGTAATTTCACAGGTGCTTATATAATGTTTAAATAGCACTATCTAGTACTGTCTGAGGACTGGAAAGCAGATGTTTGGACTGATTTGCTCTTTCTACATGTTTTGATTATTTGTGAAGGCTCTCATTTGGTCTTAATGGTTTTCTGATGTTTCTCTTACAGCGTATTTTTAAAATTAAGTACAATGTTGGACTAGGATTGAAACACAAGCTTTCTATTCGTAGTGCTTATTCAAATATATCTTAAATATTCCTGCTCATATAAATGTCAGTTTATTTCTACAGAAAAGGATATTTTACATTTAAATACAGTGTTATAGTATAAATCATTAGAGAATTTACTACCACTGCTACTTTTAATTAAGACCATAGAGATAAGGCAGATTGCATAGGTTGTCCTTCTGGCTAGGGTGTTTCCACCTAAAAGCACAAGACAAGTGGAGATATGCAACAACTGGGCATATTTTGAAAAGGGAGTTAGGCTATTATAAAATGGATGTTTGGGAGAGAGAGAGAGACAGAACTGACCTACCGAATTATGTCTCTATTCTGACAGATATTATTGGACATGTGCAACTGTAGTACTGTGATCAAATTGCATAGTTAAGACAGACCCCTCAACTTTCTATTGCCTTGATTCTTGTAAACAAAATACAATAGATATTTCCTCTACAAAACAATGAGTGGAAATCATTAGGACTATTTACAGCCAGTTCTGTTTTTGAATAAATAACCGCTTATTCCCATTCCTGTTTTAAAAGCATGAGAGCACCAAGTGGAAAAACAAACTATCTTGCTATAGTATTTGTGAACTAAAGTTGTAATACAAAGCACTCAATTCTTCTATTATGCCATATGTACCATAAAATCCTTACTTCACAGAATGGAATGTAGGTAAGAAGAATTCATTTTCATTGTCCTGGCTGGATTTCTACTTAAATGTAACTTTCTTGTGGTAGTTCACATATGTCCACAACTTCTACCAGTAAGCATGCACAACAGCATATCATATGTCTTCAAAACTAGCCACTATAAAAAGAATTTTTCTAAATGTTTAAGGAAAGGTGAGGGAGGAAGGAAGGAATCTTGCATTGGAAATACAAGGACAAATCCTACAGTTGTTATTCAGGCTAAAGCCTCGTTGAAATAAAACACCAGGTCTTGTAAGGGATAATGGCTCAGTAATTTTGCCCCAGGACACTCTGCAAAAGCTGGGCTATCAAACTGATGATTTTATTCCCCTTTGAGGATGACCCCATTAGTCTGACCCAAACTCATATAAATAATAATCTTAGAACTATGTATTCTCTAAATTTATCGCAAGGTATGGAATTTGCCACCAGTGACTGTTGTCAAAGGGGCTTATTTTCCATAATCACTCTTCAGGAAAAGGAAGTAAAATAAAGGAAGGCGGTTTTTTGTTTGTTTGTTTTTTGTTTTTTAAAAAGGCAGTACTTCATCTCAACCTATAGTTGAATGCCTAGCACCTAGTGTGGTATGGGTTCCCCTCTCACCCCAACTAGCTGAACATTCAGTAGGTGGCACTCTTCCCTCCACACTAGTACCACTATATTGTATTTCAAGTGATCTCTTGCAGGTGTTAAAGCTCAAACAGAAGGCCTGACCACTTCATAAAAGAACAGTGGTGGCATGGGCCTGCCCACATTGCAACATGAGCCATTGCACTCTGCTTTAATTCCCGCAATAATTTCTGTTGGAAAACAATATTATTCACATCTGCCCTAAACTATTATGCAACAGTGATGTGTGTTATTGAAGGGCTGCTGTATTTCTCCCCTAGAAGTTATTGCACATCAATAGTAGGTGATTTCTTCATGTAGCTTTTTAAAATAAAAAAGTCCTTTCATTACTTAGCCTTTGCTTCTAGTTGCTATCTAGAAAGAGCTTACCCTCTCTCTTTTTGGATCTCAAGCAGTGCATACATGAGGGTGAGTAAATAGTTAATATGTAGAAGTCTGTAAACTGCTTTGAAACTAACGTACTATAAAAATATGAATTCTGGATTTAACTTTAATCTCCTATGACTGATTCTCTGAATCTTAAATCAGCTAGATGGTGAGTTTAGAGCTCTGGCGTAAGAACATGTGATATTTGGGAACATGTGATATTTGGGAATTTTTAACTGGTATTATCTTTCCTATTACTTCCAAGTTACTGTCAAATGCATCAAAAAGGGGGAGAGAATAAATAAGTGGCTGCCAGTCACAGAAAATCTTTGACTACTGAGAAACACGCAGTCATTGTGGATGTGGATAATTTTTATTTAAGCTATCCTAAGTTGTGAATGCAAACTTAACCTGTATTTTATGGAGGAAACTGATAGCTAATTAGTCAAAATGAAATGTACATTTAACACAGATATAACTTGATATCAAAGTCCCTCTGTTTAATAATAGATGAGTCTGGCCTCTGTTAATAAAACATGAAAACAAAACAAGGAAGCATACACAAAAAAATACTTATAGTACTTAAACCAATCAGGACAAACGTAGTAACTGAACATTTAACCATGCCACTGTGAAAGAGCTGCTGTTCTGTGGCTACTTGACTAGTTCTGCTGCTCTTTTAAGTCCCAGTTCTGCAAAGCATTTAAGCAAATATTCAGCCCCATGGATCTCAATGAAATTGAAGCACATACTTAAAATAAAGAACATTCTTAAATGGCTTTTGCTGAATAGGGATGAACTCAAGATTGTGCTAAAATGCATTGTTGAGCCAGGTACCCCATGACCATACTTAGGCCTTGTCTGCATGAAGAATTAGACACTGGCAAGTTGGGATGTGAATCTATCCTACATTAGCCTGACATGCTCTTAACTGTCTGTGTGCATTAACGGTTGTTAAAGTGCTTTGAGCTAAGGAGGACTAACCCAAAGCACTGTAACCAGGGCCGGCTCTGGCTTTTTTTGCCGCCCCAGGCAAAAAAGCCTCTGGCCGCGCCCCCCACCCCACCCCACCCCCAGCGTGGCAGGGGAGGGTGCGGGGGGGGGCGGCCAGAGCCCTGGGGGGAAGGCGGTGAGCCCCGGCCGGGGCTC